AGAATAATACCTATGACATCAACTATTTCTCCTCCTTTTAAAAAAATCTTTTTCTGATAACTGAAAACATCCAATTTCTATTATTAATCAATTATTACTTTAACCTTCCTGCTGAATCAATTTACTTATTTCAGCTTATTTTTGCTAGGTTTCTCTGTTGTCATCTGCCTATGTCTCGTGACATAGATAAGGTGTGGATTCTCCACTGCAAATCAGGATGTAACCAACACTTCTCCCTCTTTTTTCTGTGGAATGTGGCACTTTTCAAGAATATTAGCTGGACGTTTTCCCTAAATGAATTGCCTGGTGTCTGATGAATGCCTTCTTCTGAATGAAGCTTTTCCCACACTCAGGGCATTCATAAGGCTTCTCCTCCGCGTGGGTCCTTTGGTGTTTGATCAGCGTATCTCGCCGAGAAAAGTTCTTCCCGCACTCAGGGCATTTGTGAGGCTTCTCTCCCGTGTGAATCTTCTGGTGGTCAATCAACCTGCAAGGATGATGGAAACTTTTCCCACACTCAGGGCATTCATAAGGCTTCTCCCCTGTGTGGGTTCTCTGGTGCTTGTTCAGCGTATCCCGCCGGGAGAAGTTTTTCCCACACTCGGGACATTCGTGCGGTTTCTCCCCTGTGTGCGTCTTCTGGTGTTCAATTAAGTTGCACGGGTGGTTGAAGTTTCTCCCGCAATCGGGGCACTCGTACGGCTTCTCCCCTGTGTGAGTCCTCCGGTGATTGAGTAAAGTATCTCTCCGGGAAAAGCTTTTCCCACAGTCCGGGCATTCGTGAGGTTTCTCTCCCGTGTGGATCTTCTGGTGCCTCTTCAAATGGAGTTGCCACCGGAAGCCTTTCCCGCACTGGGAGCATTGATACGGCCTCTCTCCGGTGTGGATTCGCAGGTGACTCACCAAATTGGTTCTCTGGCTGAAGCTTTTCCCACAGTGGGAGCACTTGTGCGGTTTCTCCTGGGTGTGGATCCGTCGATGCCGCATCAGAGTCGCTCTGTAACTGAACCCCTTCCTGCACTCGGGACACTCATATGGTTTCTCTTCCATGAGGCCGCTCTGATGGCGCACCCAGATCTCTCGCTGGAGAAAGGGCTTCTCGCCCTCAGACCCTTCGCACAGTTCCTCTCCCATGTGCCTCCTTTGGTGTTCAGCCAGGGCGGATCCTCCCCGGAAGCTCTCCCCGCGCACGGGGCATTCGTAAGGACCTTCTTCTGCATTTAGCGTACCCAGACCCAAACTGTGCTGGTTGTTCCTCCCGTGATTTGAGGAGAAGGGCTTTTCCACTCCAAACTGTGTTGTGTTTTCGCTAATGGGAACTTCTGGGAGATTGCTGTATTCCTTTGTTTCCTGGTGCCCTTTGGACTCACGCTTTTGCTCTGCAATCTCAGCTAAACAAGGAACACTCCCCTGGGACATTCCCTCTGGCACAGCTTCCCCTGGGAGGGAACTCTCCATCTTGATCTCTCTCCTTTTACCTGCAAGTGGTGGTGAAATGAAAAACATTTTTAAAAAATATTATTGAAACTAGATGCCCAAGGGAAACCCATACGCAGGATGTGAGCAGAAGAGCCTTCTCCCATTCTAGAGTCTCCAGCAACCGGTATTCAGAAACGGTATTCTGTTAAAACCCTCCAGGTTTAATATTAATAATAATGGTCAAGATAGTACCAAGCAATCATATCTTGGGAAGGAGCCCCATAACTCGGGTGCCACCATGTAAAAGGCTCTGTCTCCAGTGGCAAAGCACGTGCATTGCAGGCAGAAGGTCTCATCCCATAGGACCACTGGTCCATCGAGGTCAGCATTTCCTCCACTGACTGGCAGTGGCTCTGCAGGGTCTTCAGGCAAGGGCATTGCTAGCCATACCTGGAGATGTACTGGCCAGGGATGATGGGAGTTGTAGTCTTAAGTGGACAGAGGGCACCAGGTGGGCAAGACTGGGAGGGGCTGTTTCAATCTCAAATTCTTTGCCAGTGGGCTAAAAATGGATTAAGTTAAAATTAGCAAGCAGACTTTTAGGAGTTTTCTTCACGGAATCAAGTCGAGGAGACTAAATCAGAACTCCTGTGGATTTAGAGCAGCAGATTTCTTTTTCCCCAATTCAAAAATATCAAGGAAGCCTATGAATGAAATTGGTACCACAACATACTAGGTGTTTGTGTGTGTAAAAAGCTACTTTACAACTTCTGCCAACTATGATCAGAACCAAGCAAATAACCCAGATGTTGGATCCATAGTCCCTGCTACCCTTTAACAAAAAATTAAGGGAGACCTGTTTTATTATCTGAATTACACCTTAGCACTCGCCCCTTTAACAAAAGTGGACTTCAAATCTTTCATGGCTTCTTCATTGCTGAGTGACATGTGACTAATCACTAGAGCTCTCCTTATCCAGACTCCACAGCGACAGTCGCTGCTTTTTTAATTAGACATGGATTTAACATGCCCCAAACTTTTCTTCTTTTTTTGCAGAGAGACGCAATACTAAGGATGACTGTCCTGCGAGCCCTAAACACCTCCTAGCCTAAGGTCTCCCAATGAATCTCACCTCTTCACAACCCCCTGACTCGGCCAAGTGAGCAAACATGGCTGTTTGTTCCACAAATAAATTGGGGGGGGGGCGCACTTCTGCATTGTCAGGAAACTTAGGTGATCCACACTGAACAATGACAGTTATCAGGGGATCCTGATTATCACTGTCTACACCCGCCACAGATTCCTGAAGGGAGTCTCTCTAACTTTGGGTTATAAGTATGGGAAAAGAGCTCTGCTGGAGCAGCCAAAGGCCCACGGAGTCCCACATCCTCTTCTTCCGGGGGCCGACAACACCCTCCCCACTTGTGATTCTCAGCAATGGGCATTCAGAGGCATCTCCCCCCCCCCACTCAAGAGCACAGGTGAGAAACAGGGTCATCCTCCATGAACTTGTCTTAAGGCCAGCCAAATTTGTGGCTACAGTTATATTTTGTGGCAGCAGATCCCACTGTTTAACGATGCAGTGTGTGAAGAAGTCCTTTCTCATGTCAGTCCTGAATCTTTAAAGGTATTTTTTAGCCTGGTGGTGGGAGCGGGAGCAGTCAGGGCAGGCATCGGCTGTGGCCCTTGCCATAGCACAGTGGCCCCTGGCAGCTGCCAAAGAATGTCAGGTGTCAGCAGCACCCAGAGCTCTTCTCAAACTGCAAGCATCACCCAGCAGATTTCACCAGCCTCCTTTACCTGGCTCTGGTTCCTGCAAGAACATCTTTTCTCCTTTTTCCGATTGGAAGGAAAGGTCCAGTTTAGGAATCAGAAGCCCCTCTGGGGTTGGGAGGAGAGAGAGAGAGAGAGAGAGGGAGAGAGAGAGAATTATTATTATTTGCAGAATCTGGATCCAAGTAATATTCCTGGAATTTAGTATATTCTGGACACTGGACACATTCCTTTTTGACATTTTCATCCCCCTTCTAAAAAAAAGAAAAAAGCAAGAGATAAATATGAAAAGAACAACAGAAAATTAAACAGTTATATACTGCTGTGCTATAACTCGTATTTATTTCTTAGTTGATTGACATGCAGAACGGGGCTTATGAAGTAGGGATACTTATTTTGGTTTATGGTTTTCAATGAGTATAGACTTATGGACTAAGTTGTTGAATTTTTATCTCCTTATATAAGAATTAAAAAGAAAAATAAACAGATAGTTTTCATAAACAGTATCCCAGTAGAGTGCATTAAAAAGAAAAATAAACAGATAGTTTTCATAAACAGTATCCCAGTAGAGTGCATTTAAATCATTCAGTACACACAGATGTACGTGCGTGGATACATACATTCACCCAAAAGACAGATTTTTATTGTTTATGGGACACAACCTAGCCAAAATTAAGCACCTTTTAAATCCCACTAATTTCAAAGGGAAGAAACCTAAGCTGCACTCCCAAACTATGTTTATTGGGGGGTAAGACGCACTGGAGGCACAAGACTTGCCTCTTAGTAAACATGCTTGAATCGTAGCCAATGGGCCCTGGTAGAGTTGAGTATGAAAAGAAAGTGCTGCAGTCTCCCAGTGGGGCTGACCCCTTGGAAACACGCTTAAGATTGCAGCCTGAAATGTTTGTGGGGTTTGCTGCAATTCTCACCCCACCTACTTGGGAGAAAGCACCCCTGAAACTTACTTCTGAGTAGACCTAGTTAGGGAACCTTCAACCCTCGGATGTTGCTGAACTACAGATCCCATCATCCTTGGCCATCGGCCATGCTTGCTGGGGCTGATGGGAGATGTGGCTCAGCCCCACCTGGAGGACCATAGATTATCTTCTCTGAAACGCTATTCCTTACCCAGAGAGCCCACAATGCCACAGTTCTCCTCTTTGACTTGCCAGAACATCGTCCTCTGGCCTGGCTGTGTCAGGGATGCCTCCTCCTTGCCAAAAGGCCCCTCCTTCTCCTTGGCGCTCGCTGGGCCCTGAAACAGCCAAACATCCCCCACTCAGGTTCTGCTGTCCCAGAAAACGCCATTTAAAGATGGATGCCCAAGACCCCACACACACTCCCACTCCCGATTTCGCAATGCCAAGCAGTGTAAAATCAGAAGCCCCAGTCCCATCCCTAAGCAGCTACTGAGAGGCAGTGTGGTGTAGTGGTTAGAGTGTGGGACCAGGACCCAGGAGGCCAGGGTTCAAATCCCCACTCGGGCATGAAGCTCAGTGGTGACCTTGGGCCAGTCACACGTTCTCTGCCTAGCCCACCTCACAGGGTGGTTGTTCTGGGGATTATAAGAGGAAGGGGAGAACCTTGAGCTCCTTGGTGTAAAAGTGGGATATAAAGCACTCCATTGTGGGCCCCATTTTATGGAACTCCCTTCCAGGTTGCGATTAGACAGGACCTTCTTCCTGTTGAACTTACTGAAGACATTATTATTATTATTATTATTATTATTATTATTATTATTATTATTATAGCAGGCTTGTTTTATATTTTCCACTCTTTTTCATTGTATGGAATACCTTGTGCACTGCTTAGAGACAACGGCAATCAAGCTGCATGGAAATGGTTGAGACAAATTAAACGGGGCTGGGAAGTTGCTCAGTGATGCAGCAAATGCACTCTGCACATGCTCAGGTGTGCTCTGATCCTTAGCTCATCGTTACATGAGCCCTGCTCAAGGGAACACCCCAGGCCTGCCCCTAAGCGAGATGTCCACTTACCTCATTCAGCCCAGCTTCGGCCATTTCCAGTCCCTCAGGAGGAAGCAAGGAACGGGGGTGAAATGGGAGCGTCGTTCCGTTGGCTGTGAGGGACAGAAGAGAGGAAGACGACGGGCTCAGGGACAGGGCACAAGCATTGCAGGAAGATCCCGCTCCCCATCCCTGGCACCTCCAGTTAAAAAGCAGCCAGGTAGCAGATGATGGCAAAAGTCCTCTGCTGCAAGACCCCCTGAGAGATGCCACCAGTCAAGACTGGGAGTTGGCCAGGTCCTTTGCGGACTTATTTTCTGGGTTCTGGAGTGCTTCAAGCAGGAGCAGATACACTTATACATTGGGTGGCATTCAATGAAACATACGCCAACTCAAGGTTTAGGACTAGCACAAGGAGACTTTGTCCCCTTCCTCCCCTTCCTGCACACCCAGATCTGCTAGGGAAGGTCAGGGGGAAACCCAGAACAGATTTGGGGAGAGGAGAGGGGGAGAACGTTCCGTCACACAAGGAAGGCTCTTCAGAGTCTCAGGAAAACAGGATGTCCATCCCATTTAAGTTCCAAGTTGACAGAAACAACGCACAGAGGGAGTTGTTCTGGGTGTCTGATATGCAATTAGGAAATTCCCTCACCCTGGAGAATCTGTCAAAATCTTGAACCTGCTTACAGGTCCTCTGGAATACCTCCTTCCAATGCCTGCTGGAGTTTTACCCAGTAAACATTTAAATACAAAGCCTTACCCGGCAAAATCATGTCCTCATCGCATTTCAGTGCTGTGGTGTCCATGTAACTTTGTCTCTGGGAGTTGTCTGGCGAAGCACCACCTGTCTCAAGGGGCCTGGTGGCTGTCCCCTGAGACGGCATCTGAAACACAGGGAGGAAGTCAACGCTGCCCTAAGCCAAAGTCCCTCAGCCGCATCCTAGTTCCCCTACCTAGAGGAATGGTTTGTGCAAAAGACAGTGCAGAAAGTTGACATGCTTGTGGGGGCAAACGACTGCCAGCACTGATCACCCTGCTAGCGAGATTCCCACAGGCTGCCAGTCAGCTCCTGGGCCAAGTTCAAAGTCCCATATCCCCCAAAACCAGGTGATTTGAGAGAGGGGCTTATGCCTTATACACCACTAGATCCCTGCAGTCTGTGAGTGTGTCTCTTCTGCACATCCCCAAGATCTCACAAGCCCTTTTGCACAGTGACTCTGAGCAGGGCCTTGAGAGGGGCTGCCCCTCTTCTCTGGAATATCGTTCCTGTCAAGAGGTGAAAGGCGCCCACTCTCCGTACTTTCTGGAGACATTTTTGCTCCAACAGGCTGGAGAAATAGCTTTTTACCACAAGGGTCCACTTGGGATGGTTTTTAATGTGTTTGCTGTGATTTAAAACTGTTTTCAATTGCGTGTCAATTGCCTTGAAATGGTGGTTTAGTGAGGCAATTAACAAACCGATGGTAATAATAACGATGGTTCCCTTGGCAGATTCCTGCAGCCCACATACTTCCAGTGGCTCCCAAACTTTTGGGGGGCCATTGCCCCTTTCTGTTCTATAAATGCAACCCCTGCGCCCCCTACCCTACCCATAAAAAGTATTATTCAGAACAGGGGCTTGCACAGCCCACTATGGAAGGTAACAGCATAATACAGTGGTATCTTGGGTTACAGACAATTCAGGTTGCAGACGCTTCAGGTTACAGACTCCGCTAACCCAGAAATATTACCTCAGGTTAAGAACTTTGCTTCAGGATGAGAACAGAAATCGCGCGGCGGCAGCAGGAGGCCCCATTAGCTAAAGTGGTACCTCAGGTTAAGAACCGTTTCAGGTTAAGAATGGACCTCCAGAACGAATTAAGCTCTTAACCTGAGGTACCACTGCAAAATCCAAAAAGTTCATGATTAATTGCACATTTATTCAGCATCCAGTTGAAACCATTTTAATTTAATGAGTGCAACAAAACTGATGAACTTGTTCCAGTGATGCCAGCTTTTCCAAGTCTGGTAGTCATTTCCACCACCGGCACCCCGCTGCCTCTTAGCGCCCCCCCCCATGTAATGCCCCCTCCCCTTTCCCAGGGGGCAATACTGCCCACTTTGAGAAGCACTGCTTACAACACTAGCATGGGCACCTTAAATTAACCCCAGAAACAACCTGGCAGCCAAGGCAGCTGTTTTAGGGGTTCTGTGAGTACCAGCGGCAACCCTACCCAGGGATCTGGCTGATAGTCGTCTCCGAGGGCAGCCCCACGCACAGCCCACGGCAACAACCCAATCTGGAAGTCCCTGGAGAAAGTGGGTCAAGCGCTCTGACCTGCCACTTCCACGTCTCTGCTTTCAGGAAATCCTCCGCCAGGGCCACGGCTTGGGCGCAGCTCTCTGGCCCCTCTTCTCTGACCCAGCTCTGCAGCTCGTGAGGAAGGATGGCCAGGAACTGCTCCAGGATCAGCAGGTCCACGATCTGCTCCTTGCTGCGTCTCTTCGGCTTCAGCCACCGGTGGCACAGCTCCCGCAGCTGCCTATAAACCCGCTGGGGGTCTCCGGCCTTCTGGTAGCAGAACTGCCTGAAGTCCCGGCGCTGCGCCTCCATCCTCACAGCATCCTCCCGCAAGACAGCGGCCTTCACTTTCCCATAATCTTCCCTGTCAGCGGCTTCCAGTCTACCCAACGCCTGTTCAGCAGAGCTGCTCAGTGCAGGCCGGAGCCGGCCCACCCATTCCCCTCTGGGCCATTGGCAGGCTTCGGCAATTTGCTCGAAAGAGGAGAGGAAAGCTCGGACGTTGTCCCGCTGTGTGTCTTCCAGAGGAAGTGGGTTGCCCCACGCCCTCAAGAACTCCTCAGGACAGCGCAACCCCTTCCGCTCTTCTTTGCCTGACCACTCCAGATTCCCCTTCACGCCTTCGGGTAGGTCCCCTCCTGCTTCCGGTCTCCCTTCTAGTTCTGGACTTGCCGGGTTTGGTTGCTCCATTTTCAGCTCCAGAGCAAGCAGAGGTGACCACCCAAGTTTGGGGTGATCCCTGGTCTAAGCCGACCCTCTGGTTTTGTAGACAGGATGGGCCCGGCTTGGGGATCACAGGCAGCTGTGTCCTCAGGGGCCGATCACAGCCCTGGTGCCCTGGTTTGCACGATGGGGAAGCTCTTCCTACAAGAAAAACGAAAAGTGACACACACACAACTGCACCTTGCTACATGGCAAACTTATTTATTTATATTATATGGTGAGGATTGCTTGGATTCGAGATGAGTTAAGGAAGTTCAAATAATGACGTTTGTGTCTCCCTCATGCCTCCAGCATTAGTGTTATCAAAGCTAATAACGACAACCCCTTTTAAAAGTTTTCGTGTGAGGGGTGGGGAGAGGGGAGGTATTGGTTTGGAGCGGGGTTCTAGTTTTTATTGTTTATTTTGTGCTACTATATCATATTTTTATGTCGTGAACCGCTCCGAGGTCGGCAGATGAAGGGGGCCATACAATTTTTTAATAATAATAATAATAGCAACAGAAGTCAAAAATAAAAATAATACTGGCAACAGCTTGGATTCCCAGACAGAGGCAGATGTTGGCTGTTCAGATTTCAGCAGCACTCTTTGCGAGGCCAAAATTCAGCACACCCCCTGCGCCTCTGCGATCCTATGACTCTATATGAGGCAGATTTCCACGTTCCCATAAACCGTGCGGCTTGCTCAAATCTGCCTGGAAGCGACACTTCTCCGATCTGTGGGGATATTGTTCCTTTAAGGTCCCAGATTATCTGCCCTCCTTCCAAGGAAGGGGACCCCCATGCAGTCAGAGATCTGGACACCCCCCTCACTGGGGTTTTTTTTTGGGGGGGTGTCGTGGTGGGCTGCAGCTTTCTGCCACTCAGCCTCCTCTGATGTCTCCATTTCCTGGATCTCCATCTTACTTTTGCACAAAGACCTTTTTTGGAAGTAAAAATATATATCATTTTTTTTAAAAAAAAGACAGACTTACCTCTCCCGCAGCCATTCAGAAGCAAAAATCCCTGCAAGAAGAGGAAGCGGTCTTTCTTTGTGGGGGGGGGAATCCCCACTGACACCCCCACCCGCTTCTCGCGTTTCTGCATTGCTCCCTAGAAGCCCAGATTTTAACCCTTTCGAGTGTTTCAGGGAAAACAAAACCCCCCGGAAACAGCGGCCGCGCGAGGGGAGCAACGAAGGGTCCTGGGTCCTGCCAGACTCCGCATTTCTCCCTCCACTCTGCCACCCTCTTCCCACAATTTTTCCGGACACGAAGGGAAAAAGAAGCGATGGAGGAAATGTCCTCCTCCCCATCCCGCGGCTTCATATATTTGTGTCAGTCTGCTGCAAAAGGGCACAGGAGCAGAGGCAGGGGTGGAAGTTGGCAAACCCCTAGCACCGTGTTTGCCAGGGGGAAGTCTTTTTCTGGTGGTTTTATCTGTCTTTTTTTTTAAAAAAAACACCGTTTTTCTTGTTTTGTTTTTTTAAGGTGCCGTTTGAGTCAAGCCCTGCAAAGGGCACAGGAGCAGAGGGGAAAGTTAGCAGCTCCTAGCGTCCTCTTTGCTACAGAGAAAGCAGATTAGAGTCTGTCCATGGCAGGGACAGAACTGCTCCTGGTTTGGTTTGGTTTTTAATTGACTTGGGAGGTTTTAAAATTAAGATCGGGATGTTAATTAGTTCAAACTATTACCCCCCTCCCAAAAAATACCACCACTTAACACCAGCAAAAAACAAAAAAATCAATAATCCAAGGTCAGCTGATGTACTTTGTTTTTAAAATAAAAATTGTTGAAAGCAACTGTAAAACAGACAAATTCATTTTTATTGATTTAGCTTGTGAATTCATTACCAACAAATATTCTCTAGCTGACAAACACAGTGAAACAGACAAAATCAAGACCAACAAAGGTCCGTATAGTTAAAGCTATGGTTTTCCCAGTAGTGATGTATGGAAGTGAGAGCTGGACCATAAAGAAGGCTGATCGCCGAAGAATGGATGCTTTTGAATTATGGTGCTGGAGGAGACTCTTGAGAGTCCCATGGACTGCAAGAAGATCAAACCTCTCCATTCTTAAGGAAATCAGCCCTGAGTGCTCACTGGAAGGACAGATCCTGACGCTGAGGCTCCAATACTTTGGCCACCTCATGAGAAGAGAAGACTCCCTGGAAAAGACCCTGATGTTGGGAAAGATGGAGGGCACAAAGAGAAGGGGGTGACAGAGGATGAGATGGTTGGATAGTGTTATCGAAGTTAACAGCATGAGTTTGACCAAACTGCAGGAGGCAGTGGAAGACAAAATCTTGCAATAATAAAATCTAGTGATGAGCCACCGTGGTGTAGTGGTTAAGAGCGGTAGTCTCGTAATCTGGTGAACTGGGTTCGTGTCTCCGCTCCTCCACATGCAGCTGCTGGGTGACCTTGGGCTAGTCACACTTCTCTGAAGTCTCTCAGCCCCACTCACCTCACAGAGTGTTTGTTGTGGGGGAGGAAGGGAAAGGAGATTGTTAGCCGCTTTGAGACTCCTTAGGGTAGTGATAAAGTGGGATATCAAATCCAAAATCCAACATAGACTGGTACAGATAAAAGCCCCAGCTAACAACACTCATCTGCAATTTAAAAAAACATAAAAGTGGCTGATTTTCTGCTAGTTACTAGCTCCATCTGTCTCAGTGGGAGACAATGGAGGAGTGCATCTTTGGGAGTGAAGTCCAGCTGCTGGGAGGTTGCCGCACCCACTGCGGCTGTGGAGACTGATGCAGGAGAGACATGTTTCGTTGCAGCTGGGGGCATATGAAGGTGTCCTGATGCGTGCTAGAGATACACCATGGCATTTCTCTGTGTTCCTCCCTCTCTGTGTTCCTCCCTTTTCTCTGTTACAGGATACACAGGGAAGGCAATTATCTGTCACTTTAGCACCATAGAATATGCTCCTCCTTGACTTCCAACACTACCTTTGTTAAGGTTATATATATACCATACATTTAAATCGGGACACCCCTCCCCCTGAATCCTGGGAACTGTAGTTTTTTAATATACCGTCGTACCTCGGAAGTCGAACGGAATCTGTTCCGGAAGTCCATTCGACTTCCGAAATGTTCAGAAACCAAGGCACAGCTTCTGATTAGTTTCCAATTGTGCAGGAGCACTGGAAACAATAGCGGAAACCACACCGGACGTTCAGCTTCCAAAAAAAGTTTTGAAAACCGGAACACTTACCGTATTTTTCGCACCATAGGACACACTTTTTCCCTCCTAAAAAGCAAGGGAAAATGTGTGTGCGTCCTATGGAGCGAATGCAGGGGGGGAGGCAGGCGGGATAAGCCCCCAAGAAGCCGCACACAAGCTCCGTGCGCTCTTGCGGGCTTTTCCACAGGAGGGAGAAGGGTCTGACTGGCCACATCAGTCCCTTCTCCCACCTCCCAGGAAGCCAGGAGAAGCCGCGATCTCTTTAAAGGAGTTGCACGGCTTCTGCGGGCTTTTGCGAGAGGTGAGGGAATCCCCCCACCTCCCAGGTAAGCCAGAAGAAGCCGTGCAGCCCTTTTAAAGTGCGCGCGGCTTCTGCCGGTTTTGCGGGAGGTGGGGAATTCCCCCACCTCCCAGAAAAGCCAGGAAAGCCCTGCGCAGCGCTCCCGGCAAGG